AATAGGAAAGGTGTTGGCTTCTCTAAAGGTACCGGCAGAGGCACATCTAATCGAACAGCATGAAAAGTCATGGCACTATGGTATCACAAAAGTAAAATGACAGTTCTCCAGTGACCAACTCAAAGTCCTGGGAGATTGGGATCTAACTGATAAAGAATGATTATTTAAGAAATTAATAGCTGAGAACTCCCCAAGCCTGGGGAAAGAACTAGGCATACAAGTCCATGAAGCTCTTGGATCACTCTACTATCTCAGTGCAAAAAGACCCTCTCGGAGACACGTGATAATGAAGCTATCAAAAGTTAATGATAAGGAGTCGTGAAGGCACCCAGGGAAAAAAAGAAAGTATCCTATAAAGGAATCCCCGTTAGCTAATGAGCAGATTTCTTAGCAGATATCATCTAGCAATATCCATGATGTATCTCATATATATACTACCCTAAATGTAAATGGGTGGAAGTCACCGAAGGCACAGAGTAGCTATGTGAATTAGAACACAAGATCCGAGGATATGCTGCCTTCGAGAGACTCATTTCAGCTCCAAAGACAAACATGGGCTCAGAGTGAAGAGGTGGAAGGGGGTACTCCGAGCCTGTGGTAACCAGAAGTAAGCAGGTACCAGACATGCAGACTTCAAGTCAGAAAGGACAACAAAGTCAGAGAAGGACAAGTATCACGTGCTCTTACTCGTATGTGGAATCTAATGAACAAATAAACTGATGAACAAAATAGATCCAGAGACGTAGAAGCATGGAACAGACTGAGGGGTCTCAGAGGGAAGGCGGGGTGGGGGAGTGGGTGGGGAGAGACTAACCGAAGAACTTATATGTTTATAAGCATAACCCACGGACACGGACACCAGTGTGGGGAAGGCCTGGGGGTGGGATGGATGCGGGGTGGAGGGGATCAGTGGGGGGAAAGGGGAACATCTGTAATACGTTCAACAGTAAAGGTAAATTTAAAAACATGGGAACAAGAGGCAAAGAAGGCTGTTACATAATGATAACAGGGTCAGTATGTCAGAAAGGTATAAGAATTATAAATACATCGGTTCCCAGCATATGAGCACTAACATACATTAATCCGAGCGTGTCTTAATAGAGGACTAGACAATAATACAGTAATAGTAGAGAACTTCACTATCCCTCTGTCAGCAACGGATAGAGCTCCAGATAGAAAATAAACCGGGGAACATGGGGTTTGAACCACAGTACGGAACAAAGAAACTAAACCCACACATACAAAATGCTTCTTCCAACAGCAGCAGAATGCACATCTTTCCGAGTCCACAAGGGACATTCTTCAGGAGAGATTATACAATAAGCCACAAAATTAATCTTAACAATTTCCTCAGACCACATTGGCATGAAATAAGAATCAACAATAAGAGGAAAGTGACTAGATCTTCAAATATGTAGAAATTAAACAACACACTTTTAAACAACCAGGGATTCAAAGAGGAGACCAAAAGGGAAACAAAAGGTTACCTTGAAACAAGCGAGTGTGAAGATACAACCTTTAAAACCTTGTGGGGTGCAGCAAAAGCAGTTCTGAGGGGAAAGTTTATAGCAATAAACATATATTAAGATATTAGAAAGAAACAACCTATCTTTACACCTCAAGAAACTAGAAAAAGAAGATAAAATTGAACCCAGTTAGCAGAAACAATGAAATAATAAAAATCAGCAGAAATAAATGAAATAGAGACCAGAGAAACCACAGACAGGACCAACAAAACTAAAAGCTGATTCTTCAAAAGATAAACAAAATTGACAAACCTATAGCAAGAATCGGAAAAAAGAAGACTTAAGTAAAATTAGAAATGAAAGAGGAGACACTACAGCTGATATTACAAAATGTAGAGAACTTACACAACTCAATACCATAAAATCAAACAATCCAATTAAAAAATGGGCAAAAGACCTGAATAGACACTTCTCCAAAGAGGACATGCAGATGCCAATAGACAAGTGAAAAAATGCTCAGCGTCACCACTCATCAGAGATGCCAATTAAAACCGCAATGAGGTAGCACCTCACACCCGTCAGAACGGGGAAGATGCTGAGAAAAGGGGACCCTAGTGACTGCTGGAGGGAGTGCAGATGGGTGCGGCCACTGTGGAAACAATATAGAGGTTCCTCAAAAAATTAAATATAGATCTGCCATACAATCCAGCAATTCCACATCGGGGTGTGTACCCAAAGGNTAAATATAGATCTGCCATGCAATCCAGCAATTCCACATCGGGGTGTGTACCCAAAGGAAGTGACAACTGGATTTCAATGAAATACAAGCACTCCTGTGTTATCCCAGCGTCCTTCGGGGCGGGCAAGGTATGGGAACAACCCGAGCCCCCATCGGAGCATGAATGGGTGGGAAGGATGTAGTAAGTGTGCACAGGGGACTGTGACTCTCCCTGAGAGAAAAGACATCCTGCCACTTGAGACGACGTAACTGGACCTCGAGCAGGATGTCTGTGCAGGAAAAGTCAGACAGAGAAAGGCAAGTACTGCACGGCATCGCTTACATGTGAAATCCGAACATAAAGAAGCCCTGCCTTGAAAAAACCGAGAGTAAAATGATAGTTGCCAGGGGATGGAGGGGGGCGCAAGGCTGATGCTGTTCAGGGCGCACACTTGTACTGAGCAGCAGTAAACCGTGGAGACAGTGAACGCGCCAGGGTCCCTGCCCTGGAATCGTGTGATGTGATAACCGCGCTTAATGGCAGCCCTGTTAGGACATGTACATGTGTCAAAGTAACACGCCGGACACCTTAAATTTACAAATTATGACATGTCCAATTTATCAAATTAAATAAATTTTGAAAATGAAAGGCTGTAAGTGGGAATAAATAAATACCTGGAGTGAATTTTCCATCCACTCTCATGGTAACCCAGTGTCGTGCCTCCGCATACGTTGCATTTCCCCCCGCAATGCCCTTCCTCTCACTGTCTTCTCTCACAGCCCTGTCCGCTCATTGAGGCTCAGCCGAAAAGCCTGTTGTTGTGGCCCCTCGTGGGAAGCTTCGCCGTCACTATCCATCCCTCCTTTACGCCGCTTCACAGCTCCACCTGATGGTCTAGATTTTGTGTGTTTGGTGTATTTACTCTCCTGGGCAGTAAGAGGTTGAGCGGCAGCGACTAGAAGCTGCTTCATCTTCTGTTTCCCACAGGGCTCAGCAAATGTTTGCTGCTTGACTGAAGGTTTGCAAGGAGTTGTGGAGGAAGAACGTGTCTGCATTAGAATCAGAGGCCCCTTGCCCGGGAGGCATGGCTCAGTGGTTGAGACCGAGGCTCGATTCCCGGTCAGGGCACAGGCCCGGGTTGCGGGCTCGATCCCCAGCGGAGGGGTGCAGGAGGCAGCCCATCGATGACTCTCATCATTGATGTTTCTCTCTCATCATTGATGTTTCTCTCTCTCTCCCTCTCCCTTCCTCTCTCTGAAATCAGTAAAAGGAATATCAGAGGCCCCACGCTTAGCTGGGCTGTGTCTGCTGCGGTCATTGTGGGCACGGCTGATGATAGCTCAGGAAAGCACGGGGCTGGAGAATGTGATCTCTGCACCCAGACTGTCTTCTTTTGCAGCAGGGAGTTTCCAGGGCTTCATTATAATCAAGGAGTTCCCTGCAGGCTGGCTCTCCATCAGCTCATCACCCACGACCCTTACAGATTCTGTTTTGTTCTGGGTGGACTTTCCTATTTTAAAGAGTTTTCTGTTCAAATCCAGAAATGTTCTGTGAATGCTAATACATAACAATTAATACCTTTGTTATCTGTGAGTCTCTTAACCAGGATTATATAGAACCAGTTTGGGGGGCAGTTGGAGAGAGGCATTGATGGGAGGATTTAGGGGATGGGACCAGGATAAAGGAAAGAGTCTGTGCTGTTGAAAAAGGAGTGTTCTTGAACCAACTTCAACTTCATTCCCCATTGCTAGGGCACAGGCAAGCTACGAAATTGTGCCCTGAAAGCTGTGGTCCAGATATTTTGTAGCAACCATTCATTTCTTGGTCCTCTACTTCCTGCCTAGTAATGATCTAGTTTATGAACATTATCTCTAACTCTTAAAACTGCTAATTAGATAAATATAATTACTCCACTTTTCAAGGGAGAAAACTGATTTAGAAAAGTTAAATTACAATCACAATTGCCCATCTAGTAAATAGACAAAGATTTGAACACAAAACCCACATTTCCCCCCCTATGTCCTGCTTGCTGCCTTTTTAAGTAGGTGGCTTCTGTTGGCCAGCTGGGCACAGGGGGAAGGGCAAGGAAGACTTAGAAATGTTGTCTTATCAGGCTGGTATGTTCTCATTGTCATTGCCATGGCATTATTTCAAAACCTCAAATCGCTACAGAAAACTCGGTGTTACCCCTTTCTGACTTGGTATTGGCTTTGGTAAAGAATAGGACAGGCCCAGCCAGCATGGCTCAGTGGTTGAGCATCAACCTAGGATCCAGGATGTCACCATTCGGTTCCCCGTCAGGGCACATGCCCTGGTCAAGGGCTTGACCCCAGTAGGGGGCATTCAGGAGGCAGCCGATCAATGACTCTGTCATCATTGATGTTTCCATCTCTCCCTCCCTCCCCCGTCCTCTCTCTGAAATCAATTTTTTAAAAACAAAATAAAAAGAACAGGGGATAGGAACCAAGAGGGCTAATCTTTCATCTCTCACCAGGAGGAAATTTTGCTAGTGTTGTCGTTTTTTTGCAAAAAGGAAATAAAATGAATTTGTGATATGCAAATGAATCTCTCAACTGTTTGTTAATTTCTACTGTTTACTCAAACGTGGGACACACCAGGCCTGTGATACATCATCTTTTGTGCGCTTGGCACCTTCCATCACGAGTCTTATTAATCTGCTCAAACTAACAAGGATTAATTGCCTTGGTAAGGCAGCCCGGCATTGGAATGATATATTGCCCAGACAGCGTGGAATCTGGCCACTCATAAATCTCATTTTTTGTTGTTCTGTTTCTGTTTGTCTCTTTCTTGACAGATGCGTGCCCAATCACTGTGAGCATGGCGGGAAGTGCTCGCAAACGTGGGACAGCTTCAAGTGCACTTGTGATGAGACCGGATACAGTGGGGCCACCTGCCACAACTGTGAGTGCCAGTTCATCTCTCTCCGAGCTTGTAATTGCATGAGATTCCCGGGTCTCCAGCTGTGTGTTAAAACTCAGCAACCTGAGTAACCCACGTACTAAATCACTCACTTCTGAAGCACCCAGATTTGTTGGTGTTTCTCCAGAACAGTGTTCTGGTTGTCAGAATGTATTCTCTCATGCCTGAGGACTCAAACAAAACAAACAAAACACACACACACACGGAACGTTCCCGGTGTTGTGTAAACATGTGGCTGGAATTGGAATGCTGATCTTGGGTTTGACTCAATGTGTCCAAGCGATGTCTGTCTACAGATTGGAAAATTATGGTAGTGGAATGTCTCTGACTGGATCCTCATTTATCAGTCCATCAGAGAGGCAGACAGAGTATAATTTGAACATTTAGTGTCTTGGAAATGGTTGTCTCATGTTCTATCGCAATGATTTCACTGCATTTTTTTAGATCAGAAAAAGATGACTTAGAAAGTGGAATAAGCCCATTGAAGGGGTATATCTAAAATAAAAACCCAAGGAGGCAGCTTTTTTTAAATGTTAAAAATAAAAACATGCAAAAATGACTAGTAAACACAGAAGGGCCCTGTTTTACATAATAGCTTTACCCTGAAAAGGTAAGTAAATTTAATGTTTTGTAATTCATTTTTAAAGGAATTTTTAAAGGAATATTAATTCTATAATTATAACATTTACTTTCCAAATATGCACTGTTGTTTACAAAGCCCTTTTGAAACAGATTTGCCATAAAACATATAGTTGAAAGAAAGTCATCTGTGTGTGTGTGTGTGTGTGTGTGTGTGTGTGTGTGTGTGTGTAGAGAGAGAAAGAAATTCCGTTTCCTTCAATCTTCTCTCAATATTCTGAAAAACTGAAAATCTAATATCTGAACCCTCTTCTACACTTTCTCTTCACTTTTAAGAAATAAAGACAAGCAAAATGTTATCAGGATGGAGTTCTGGGGACAGTAAAAATGCAATATTGTTCTCTGAGCCTTTTCTATCATTATTTGTAGACATGTTGAGTCAGAAAGTGTGTTCAGACTATATTGGGAGACCTCAACAACAACAAAATTTGTAATTTATTTTATTGCACTTATTAATTTGTTTAGGAAAATATTTAAAAATAGGAGACAAAAAGAACTAAAATATTAATGATAATAATAAGATATACAAGAGACTAGAGCAGATAGACACTTAGTAGTTCATCATCTACAAAGTATTGATATATAGGTATTGAGAAAGTATTTATAAATAACAAAACTGATATTGCAATTAATTAGAATAAAGGAGTTATAACTAAAATTGCCTTTCCACTCACACTAGATGTTCACTTTCAGCATATAATACTCACTATATGGTAAGTCTGAATTAGGTAACTTTGATAAAACTAAGTACTTTTTCTCCACCAGTATAATTCACATAGTACTGTCCTATAAACACCACCTGTAACTACAAGGGATTTGTGTCTGAACATGGAAATCTTAACCAAAGACAGAGAGCAAGAAATTGGGGGTGGTCCCAGGGGTTTCCTAACTCAGCAACCACTTTGATATTGAATTGAAAAGCAAATAATTAATTTTTGTAGCTGCTGGGATACACAGCAAAGACAAAGATTTTTTAAATATTTTAAGGTTTAAAAATTTAAAAATATGCTCCTGGTTGAATAGTTGAGGGGGTGTGTGTGTGTGTGTGTGTGTCTGTGTGTGTGTCTGTGTGTGTGTGTCTGTGTGTGTGTGTGTATGTGTAATAGTTACAGCTCCAAGTATTAGAAACACCCTAAGTGTGCTTAGGTTTAACTTTAGTGCAAACTCTAAATGCAAACCAGGAAAACGCCTGCTTCCTGCTGCTCAGTCCCACTCGTGCCCTGCTCCCTTCTGCATCTAGGACAGTAGAATCATGCATCCGAACGAGACGCTGATCCCTCGTCACCCTCACTAAATGGCCAAAATCTTGAAAATCCAGCGTGTGCCTAAATAGAGCTTAGAAGGCCATAGCGCGTCATTCAAGAAAGGGCTGATGGGACCCTGTTTGGTTGCGCATATACATAGACATATACACCTTGTAGCTTATTGAAGGGCACGTGCTTTCTAATTCAGTTCAGCACAGAGTGAGCAGTTGTGCAGGATTCTCGGCCAGGGGCCACTTTCATAGCAGGAGCATTGAAATGACCAGCTGGGCGCCGTGCGGGCTGGGAGGTGATCGCGCTGAGCGCCCCTGGAGCGAGTCCTGGGGCTACTCCTGGAGTCCTTGGTTCCTCTCTTGACAAGACTTCCAGTTGCTTATTCTGTCTTCTGTGGTTTTGAACCTGGTCAGTGTTGTTAAATATTGTAGCTCATTTTCTGCAGGGGACTGAGCGCCCCTTTCAGAGAGGAGTTATGCTGATTTTATCGAGCACTCCCGAGCAAGGCAAAGGACAGCGAAGTCCAGCCTGGCATTTAGCAGAACTCGGTGTTCAGCGGAGCTTCCAGCGTGTCCATGAGGCGACCATTTCAGCACATCTTCTCCATGGGGCAGGCGTGGTCAGGATGAGATGGCTGTCTCTCAGGTGACCTGTGGTCATCAGGCTAGAGACTGGAGTCCACGGTGGAGCCTAGAAGCCCTCTTTTGTCAGGTCACCCTGCCTGACCTTGAACGTGGCTGTACTGCTTACTTACCTGGAACCTGGGGTTACAAGTAAACTCTCTGAGCTTCATTTCCCTCCTGTGAGAAATGGGTCTAGTCACAGCCCCTCCTAAAGCCACTGTGAGATTAAAGAAGGCGACTTGTAGAAGACACTGAGGGGAGATTAGCATATGTTAGTCTCAATAACTTTTTGCCATTTCAGTCCTTTCAGAATAATCACCCCTTTGCCCTGAGCCTGTTACCAATAATTGCCTGCATCACACTATTTGTCGTTAAATTTCATGCTGCCAGTCATGGTTTCTGTCATTTCTGTGGCACACTCGGGCTTGAAGTGAATGATTGGTTCCCATAGTTTGATGTTTTCTTTTTATGTTCTTTTTTTTCCCAGAAGAATTGAAGAGAATTAAAAGGGATGTATATATGTCCTGGACCTATATCCATTTGAATGTTAGTTAGTTAGTTAGTTAGTTAGTTAGTTAGTTAGTTAGTTAGTTAGTTAGTTTATACATGGAGAATTTATTTCTAAACACAGTCTGTGTAGGGCTCAGAGGATCGTCACTTATAAGCCTCAGTCAGGATGCCATCCTTTGGCAAAGAAAATCCCACAGGGAAAGCCGAAGATGCCTGGAGACAGATGACAGGAAAGGAAAAGTCTTCTCATCCAAAAACTAAGAAGACTGATTTGTGTCAAAATGTAAATGTGTTAAATTGTTGCAGTTTTACACTTTTAAATGTTTCTTATGCAGACGCTCTGTTCTCAGTGAGTTTCTAAGAACTGACTGGCAGCGTATCGGTCCATGAAATCGTGGCAGAAAGAATCGAACGACCATGTTGAACAGTTCATTTGTTTTCTTACATTGGCTTGTCCCACATTCACCCCCCAAACGTTAAAGAAAGTGTCTTCCTTGTGCGTGAAACGTCACGTTTACAGCTGGGCTTTTTCCTGCAGCGCTGTGCAGACACTTTTCAACTGGTCTCCGAGCTTACTTTCCAATGCTCTAAGTGCTCTTTAGGATTTAATTATCATCTCACTTTTTTCACATGTTCCTTACACTTCATAATTATGGCTCTAATTTAGATAAATTAAATTTTTAAAAAAACTCCCTCTGATTTCAGGGCCTGGCAGATATCTTTCCTTGCGCTGCTGGGATCTATCTTTGACTTTATCCATTCTTACATATACTATCAATCCCGCATGTGAGACTGCCCTAAAAATCTACAGTGTTCTCACTAATATCAAAACTGTTGGCTATTTTCAAAGGTGCAGGAGGGTATTTGATAGATATTTGAGACGGAACTTTATAAGAATTATTAAATGCAGATCTTCATTCTGAGAGAAAACATTCGTCCAGATTATCTTTTTATTAAAGGAGAGATTGTCATCTTGCCCAGATACATAGACAGGACTCTTTCCAGAGCTAGCAAGAAGAGATTGACTCAGCGGCCTACACAGATCTCTTTTAATTTTAAAATTATGTGATTTCTGAATTCTGAAGTACTGAAAAAGAGGAAGTACTGGTGTTCCCCAACAACCACAAAACTGAAATTTTTACTAGTCAATGTTAGAGGAAAGACTAAAATTTAGAAGGAAAATATTCTACGCGCTGTAGTCTGGAGCTATTACTCTGTGTCCACAAATTTGTAAACCATAAATTACACAGCATATTGTTACTGCACAGGGGAAAAGGGAGCAGATTTCAGTAGCTCACACCATGTTCTGTATAATCCATTATTTTCCTAAGTAACTTAATTCCGAGTATAATTTTAAAAAATAAATTACATTTATAAATATTTTGTAAGCATGAAAAGTATCAGCCTAGCCTGTAAAAGGTGAGCATGTGTTATAGTATAGCCTCAGTTCCGAATCCCAGTGAAGCAGAGGGGTATGAAAAGGAATTAAGATTATGAGGACTGTTCATGAAATGATGCACTTCTTTGGAGGAAGCTTCTTAACACTATACCCTAATATTCTGCCTCTTCCTCTCTCTACCCCGCCTCCCAGCTTGGACCCCATTCGCAGAGTGGAGTCAGACCTCAGCATGTTGCTGAGTGGCTAAAACATAAGTAAGTGATGGTAGGAACACAAACATTCACTGTCCCATGGCCGCTCCATAATGACAAGGACACACTGAGCACCTGAAGCAGGTCAAGGTGTCTGAATAGAATGGGAGGATGAAGAGGTAAACTTACAAGAATCCAGTAATTGTTCACTTGATAACCAAAGGCGATCTGGCTACTCAATACCACGTTCTGGATTAGAAAGACAGCCTCACCCTGTGTAGATGAATCAGCCCTCGTAGCCATTATATTTGCTAATAAAGCCTTTTATCTTTTCAGGGAGTATTGGCTTAAACACTGAGGCCCC